GCACGCTTGTCGTCCACGGCTTGGTGTTGGCAAAGTTGTCGTTCAGCAACTGCGTGAAGAATCCATGGAATGGTAGACATTGCAAGAATTCTTGGAATTTCACTCAAGACCTTGATTCGTCGACGCAGGGAATTTGGAATGCGCATTGTTGCTGATGCGATATTGTTCGGCATATATATAATCGGCAAACTATTCATTATTTATTAGAATTTAGAAATAATGTTTAAGCGTACAACAACCACAGTTGCTTTTACATATTATTTTAGCAAAATGCTAAATACGAACATGGTCGTACACAGCGGGAGGTTGGGTGGGGGGGGGGGGACTGCCTCCCAAGAGAAAGCTATATTTACGATTTTTAGAATGACATTATTAATTATTCTTTTGGTATTTTGGGAGATGTTGCTGCCTTGCTGTCCCAAAAACCTGCGTATACGGCCCTGAATACGAAAATACACTTACATGCATTAATGCGTTATACAGTTAATTCGCTACAGTTTATCTTCTGAATTTGAGCTATATTAATGTCTCGCATATGACACCGTAATTGAAAACTAACTAAGACTAAAGCCTGGTTCACACTAGCAATTTTGTCGGCGATTTTCTTTTGGTTTCTAAAGGATGCAAATGAGTGAACACGGCACACAAAAGTATAGAGTCGCTTTTCAGAAGTAAACAATTCTAACTCTTTTGAATGTCATTCATTCGATCACATTTGCCAGGAGAAGAAAAATTGCCGACAGAAGTGTTAAGTGTGAACCAAGCTTTTAAGCTATTAAAAAATCCACGATTTAAATTTAAAATTATTATTTTAAAAATCCACGATTCAATGCTTTCTGTTTTGCCACATTGTCTGCATCTTCTACATCGCTTTCATCCGTATCATCACGTGGAAAAACGTTCTGAAACCATGCCTTTGGTTTCGCTAAATTTACATAAATTTTTATCATTTTTGGCGCTTTAATTTTGTGCAGTGATAAAAGTTCCTTAGAATAATTCCTGCCAGATTTTTTATGCTTTTCTTTAAAAGTACGAAAACCCAATACCGAAATATATTATTAGATCATTTACAATATGACATTGAGCTCATCAACATATAGGTCACTCCCAATTTCTTAACTCTCCCAACGTTTCCTTGAACTAACATGAGAGAGTTATGTTTGACGTAACTCTCTCTCGTTAACATTATGAAGATGTTAGAGAGTTATCATTTTTTATAACTTACCGCGTTCACAATTGTGGCAATGCCAATGAAGAGAGTTATGTTCGTCAGTTTTTTTAAAAAAAATTCCACATTTTAGTAAATTATTGTGAATTTACTTTTTTCTCAAGTTTCAGCTTTAACATTTCACGCTAGTAGAAACTAGTATACTAATTCAGTACTTACCAAGTGAAGCGAGTACGAGTAAATAATTAACAATTATGCGCCGAAGGCGAGGTGATTATCGGAGAATTTTCGCCGAGACGAAGTCCAGGTGAATATTCCCCGATAATCAACGAGCCTTCGGCGAATTATTGTTTTAGTATTTTTGCACAAGTTTTTTTGTCTTTTTCTGGTCTGAATCCATTTTAATTTCGCTTATTTCTTTATCATTAACTTCAACAAATAACGACTAGCAGCCATTTTGAAAATTTCGATTTTAATACGTCAAATTTGACCAATCACCTTGTAGGATTTGTTATGTACACTTGTGCAAAAATACTAAATTATTTTATTACATGGCTTTTCAAAATTCTCTATTCTGATTGGTTGACAAACGGTCCGTAAAAACCGTATTTTCCGTATCTGGACCGGTGTCCCGGATGTCGTTTATCTGGCGGGAAATTTTTGCTTTCCAACAGAAAAATTTTTTGCTTTTTAATTTTCCAATTGTGTGTCATTAAAATTTACAGATAAAACTTTCAAACAACCAAATTGTTTTTGATTGTGCATGCATGCCTACCGTATATTGTTAACCAGTGAAACTGACGATAACCGATTTAATTCGCGCGAAAAGCATATGCTCACAGACTCAGTTCAGCCATAATAATAAACCGATTATTGACCTCGCTTTGTTTGGTCTGTACTGTGAAATTTCAGACCTCTGTTTTTGGCATGGACCTCGCTCTTAACGTTGCCCGGTCCATACTAAAAATAGCCCGTGTGCAGGCCCAAGGGAAGTGATAGTGGGCCTGCAAGCAAGGCCCGCTATTTTGTAAAACACCCCTTTTCATAACACGCCCCATTCGCGCGTCAATTGTCAAAAAAGAACCAATGACAGCAACCCAAACAAACTCGCATTAAACTGTTGCGGGGTTTTCTCTGCCAGAACAGAAACAATGGGCGTTTTAACTCTAAAAAAAGCAAGCAACGCACTCAGTAATTGCCAAATTTGCAAGTGCTCACTTTCAACTAAAATCGGAACAGGCAAATTAGGACAATTTCAGCAGAAAACCAGTCTCAAACTTCAAATCGTGAGGGAAGTCGTGCGAAACCACATTAGCACTAATGTGTGCTTCGCTGTCGCCATTGTTATAAATAAATTGTCTCACTTTAATATCAGATCGTGTGTGCAATTCTTGTTGGCGGCGGAAAGTACGACAATTTCAGTTATTTCATTTGGTAAAGAACTGTACAAAAGAAGAGAGCGTTCAGAGCGTCCAGATCGTTCCGTTTCAAACGGCAATTACCGTATTCTGTTTCGCTCTCTCAGCGAAGCCTTGCAAATCGCAAGGTGTTTCGAATAGGCTTACATGCAACTGCCTCTAAATCTTCACCGCGAAAAGCGCTGTTTTCTTCAGTGCAAGAACAGAGTGAACATTAACCAAAAGGAAATTTTCTTGAGGAACATATATTAACGTATCAAGTCTGTTTGAAATTAATGAAACTCAAGTAAAGGTTTACTATAGTTTACCCTAGTCGTAATGTTGCTATTCCAACACTTCACGACAAGTAATCCCCACTGGCATAACGGCAACAACATCTCTTCCTTCAAGTAAACAATAAACAGTCTGTTTTTGTTCCATTTTTAGTCGAAAAAAGTGATCAATTTTCGAATTTTAAGCTTAGCGAGAGCCTTTGTGATGAATCACTGATATAATTATAGAATCCAACAGCAAACAGCCAATCAGAATGCTGCGTTCGTGGGCAAACTGATACCAGGCCTGGCTTGCACTCCCACTATCACTTTCCGTGGGCCTGCACGCGGGCTATACTAAAAATCGTCTGTCTGATATTTCACAGTATAAAGACCTCACGCTCGGTCAATAAGCCGTTAATACATGCTCACTTGGATTATCTACAAAACCCAGAATTCAGATACAGCTCTCGTATTAGATGGATCCAGAAAACCTTTCCAAATTCCAATGCATGTAATGCCCTGTTGGCTGATGTGGGAAAGTATTTCCAAAATCTGAATTGCTGAAAGATTCAATTTTCTTACTTTTTTTTCAATTTTCTTGCAACTATGATTACTGTATTTACTGCCAAATACAAGTCAAAGCATGCTTCTGGGGGTACATTGACCCTTCTGATGCAAGCATCTCATTGTTCTGACCGAATCAAGTTGTACTATTTCCTGTTTGGACGCACGCCAGTGACACGCTACACACTGAAATACCAAAATATAAGATGAAAATCTGAAGAAACAAGCTTTACTAAGTTTTCTCAAAAAACTGACATAACTCTCATCATTTCCACAATCGTGAACGCAGAGAGTTATAAAACATTATAACTCTGTGACATCTTCATAATGTTAACGAGAGAGAGTTACGTCAAATATAATTCTCTCATGTTAATAGTTCAAAGACACATCAGGAGAGTTAAGAAATTGGGTGTGGTCGTTGGGGAAAGTGGGCGTGGCTCGAACATAACTCTCCGAAATCATAACTCTCCGGTTGTTAACTCTCCTTTTAGCCATACCCCTCAGCAGTGAGAAGACACAGCTTCAAGATTGTTAGGCGAAAGTATTATGTACCTTGCCCAAACGCCCTCTGGCATATTGATGGCGATCATAAATTGATAGAACCGTACAGAATTGTCATTCATTGTGGGATTGTGGGATACTCTCGTCTTATCGTATATTTGAAGCAAGTAAACAAAGCTTTCTGATGCTATATTGGCACTACCTATACTGTACGCTGGCAAAGACCGTTCGATATTGAAAATGTGGCATAATTTCAGGCTTGTATCATTAGAATGAGAAATTTGGACCCCAACGCCAGGATTGTAAAAGAAAACAAGTTATATTTCTATAATTGCCTACAAAGCACTTAAGCTAGGATTCTCATTTAATGATTGCCAAGTTGTTCTGCATGTTATCAAGCAGTAAGTCTCTACCGTCCTATCAAAGACAACCACATAATTATTTATTTCCAAAAATTATCAAAAAGGACAATTTACACATTTGAGACAAAATAATAAAATTAATTATATTAGTAGTAAATGTTACTCATAACAAAGGCTAATAACTAACGTTAAACGATTAAGTTGAGGGTGGTAAAGGGAGAGGAGCTATATAGGGGGTATTTACTGTGTTTCACAAAAAAATAGAACGGGATATTTACGATTCACAAACCAAAAATCTTCCATTTTGCGATTAGTGAAAATAAGACGTTGTTGCTATAAACTACTTGTTTTGTTAAAATCCACTAGCTTGAGAAAAACCATAAGAAATTTCAATTAATATTTACGTATACTGCATGTTATTATTTATGTAAATGGCAGATTACGAATTTCATGGACAACTTCGTCTGCTTTTAGCAAAAAATTCGAAATCACGTTTCACGGAAAAATGCTTGTACATGTAAACTAAATACAGGATTTACGCTTCATCTGAACAACTTTAATAACAATCCACGGGAAATAAAGTACCGATTTTACGTTTCACGGAATATAAACTTGGCAATCCACGCTTCACAAACCTTTACCATCCTCAAAGTTGTATGAAAAAATGTGGATAACATTATTACACGGTAAAGAAGATTGCTTTAGTAAAGAGAATCGGCTTCCTATTAAAATTTTAGCTTACATGTTGGTATATTGGCTCTGGCTCGGCCGGTATAACATAACCTGAGTCACGCTTTAACAGTTTCTGGTAGCCATCAGCATTCGTTGCTTCGCTCTCGACTTGGCTGATCCTATCAAGCTCAGTGTAATCAGAGGATTGTGACATTTGGACTTCTTCACGCGTCGCTGTTCCACCATCAACAGGAATTACATAACTTAATTCGTCTGGTGCTGATCCAACAACAACTGGATTTGTATAACCTATTTCGTCTGGTGCTGTTCCGCCATCAATTGGAATTACGTAACCGGGCACGTCTGGTGCTGATCCAACGTCAACTGGAATAACGTACTCTAGGTCCTGTACAGTATAAACAATTCGCTGTAATAAACCATTTGATGTGTTTACTACCAAATCACGCGTTTTGTATCGGGATAAAAATTTATTGCCTGGAAAACACACTTTATTTTAATTTAAGGTTACAGGACACCTTTGAGTGTTAAATTGGCCCAAATTTTTTTTATTGGCTTTCATAAAAGCTTTAGACCACTTCTAATAGCTGACCAAGTTTGAAAGAAAAATGTTGAAAACTCGCGGAGTTATTTAATAAAATACATTTCTCTGCAATATAAACAACATTGAAAATGTAATATTCAAATTCAATTTTCTCGGGACTATTTTTGCGGTAATTACTGATTTTCAAGCCAGTTGTTCTCCTGTGCGTTGTAACCGATTGTTCTAAAATTTGCACAGCGCATAGCTGATGACTTCAGCATAAAAAAGGTGTTCGGCTTTGTTTTAATT